CCTTCTCATGCACTTCTTGGTCTTTGTCTTAATATCTTTTAGACATATATTTTTTCTTAGGAAAGATTTTATGGCTCTGACTGCAGAAATGGCAGATTTATACTTAAAAATATTGGATATTGGCATCGGCCCACAGTTCTTATATAGGTTTTTGTAAATCTATTCTGGACAAGGAGAACAGAGTCAGGAGGTGAGAGGTGTAGAGCTGCAACAACTAATTGACATTATCAATAACGTGGATAATCAAAAATTGCTGGCAATGAATAAAGTTATCAATTAGTCGCCTTGGTGAAGTTTGCATGTCCAGTTTACATCCCGTGAACGAAATAAGGAAATCCAACTAGCGGAGACTAAAGTACAGCATCTCGCCTGACCCACAAATTATGAAACTATGAAAACACTTCACTTTAATGTCATCTAAAAATATGGTTTCCTGTGCTCAGAGTCAGATTAAGATCATGGGGTGCCCCTAGGCACTAGAGCTATAGTGCCTTATTCCTACAAACCCACTGATAATAACCTGAGACAGTTTGCTGAAAAGGTCTTGATTTTGCTGAAGATTTGTACTGTTGATTCTTCATAAAATGTCTAAAATGAACCAGAGTTCATTTCTCAGTTGAGGCCTTGTCAAGATCACTGTAAGCTGACAGTATGATGCTGATTATGTCTAACCCAGACAGACACCACTGTCCACCAAATGTACACAATGATAATGTTTTTAGAATTTTTATGACTGCATTATTAAGCTGACTGTTATGGTCTGTGGATAGATTTACTGAATGTTTCAAAAAAGTGTTAAATTCACAGATTAAAATCACTTAAAACTTTTTTGAGCAACTTTTGGTGCCTTTGGGCAGTTGGTGTCCCGGGCAGTCACCCATGTCACCCATTCACCCATATGGTAGATCCAGCTCAATGGGTAGATGCTTGCGTATGTGTGTGTGTGTGTGTGTGTGTGTGTGTGTGTGTGTGTGATTTATTTTATGGTTGTAAAGCAGAATTGCCCACTCAGTCTTTTCACATAGATCACTTTAATTATGAAATAAGAAATATTAAGATTAAGAGACCCTTATTAGTCCCACAACGGGGAGATTTGACCTCCGCATTCAACCCATCCGTGCAGTGAAACACCACATACGCACTAGTGAATGCACACACATTCAGGGGCAGTGAGCACACTTCCCTGGAGCAGTGGGCAGCCCTATCCGCAGTACCCGGGGAGCAGTTGGAGGTTAGGTGTCTTGCTCAAAGGCACTTCAGTCATGTACTGTCAGCTCAGGGGATCAAGCCAGTGACCTTGCGGTCACAAGGCTGGTCCCCTAACCTGGAGTCCATGACTGCCCCCCCATTATTTCACACTCTATCACACTTCATCTTATCTCATTATTTGTCTCATTATTCAATATTTTTATATCCAAAGCTCACACTGTGTGGGATAAATAAAGACATGAAACACTCTAGTTCCAGTAGTCTATTTTAGCCAAATTTGCAATAGAAATATTATAAATAATAACCCTCTTTAATGGGCCAAAATGGCATTTTAAAAGTACATTATGTAAGATTTAGGGATTTGGAGACTGCATCGGTGAAAATATGTAATTGTACACATTGAAAGATTATTCAAAGAAGACTATTATCTACTATTGTCATCATATCTTCATCAGTATAATGTAGATTTTGTATTTGAGACCTAAACATCAAGCTGGACCTTTTTTTCAGGCTCTGCGTGCAACAATAATACACAAACTTGTGAAGTGGTCATTTTCTTCAGACTCAGTAATGCTACTTTAAACTTCTTCTAAAAATCTTACGTAGTGTAGCTTTAAATTCTTAAGTTGCTTGTATAGTTGCTTATATAAAAAGCAAATGAATGAAATCAAATAAAGTTCTAGGCTGGCTTTATAGCACGAGTCTTGCATAACTATACTGTGACATTTTGGATGTAGCAGCATTCAAACATGATTTTATGTCATAAAATTGGAACACAAATCTGGAAAAATCAGAATAATAAATTATCTGCTTGCTGATTGCTTGTTTTAGAGCAAAAATTGTCAGATTCAATGCACCCTAGTAACTATTAGAGCTTCAAATATTTTGTCTGAATGCCATTTTTCAAATATGTGTCTTTCTTAGGTTCACATTTCACTTTCAGGTTTCTCACAATTCGCCTCACTTTAAACAGCTTTCACCCTGAGTTTCCCCACTGCTTTAGTTTATCTTCTTATTTTATTTGTCCTCATTACTTTAAAAACATTTCTATTTTAGCATGCTGGAGTCCGAATTTAGCACATCCATTAGGGTACAGATCAGTGCAGCCAAGCGGAAGGTTTATTTTCTCTGTAAAATATTTTGTATGTCTCATATTCAGTATGTTGTCTGTAATATGTTGTATGTTAGTATTAAACAGGTGAAGGCTACTGTGCCGCTGTGTCAGCACCACACAGCGTGAGGACGGCACATTATGGAAAGTTTATCCAGACTAAAAACCTTTGGGATGTTGTTCAAAAGCACTGCTTGAAGAATAAACATATTAAAGCAGAATTTAGACTTAATTTTAGAACGCTGATTGTTTTATCACATCATATTAGTTTATAATAGCTATAATGTGTAATATAATAGCCGTAATAACATCAGCTATTATTTAAGCAGGCTGTGAGTCAGGTTGGGTCAGACTCGGACTGAAAACTCTCAAGCTGTATTCAGGTTCAGACCAAAATTTCAAGATAATAAAAGCTCTGGTAACTACTGTGACCCAGCTCTATGGATCTCAAAGTCTATTTCTATGTAAATTATGATGTAAACCGTCTGCCTCACATGTCTGAAGAGATTATTTCGGAATGACATTGTGGACTGTGCACTATATGGACCATCCGTGGTCAGAAGGTTTTTCTGTCTGAGACCAGTTTCCAGTGTAGTTGGCCAATAGAGTTATTATTCTGTTCTATTCTACTCTGCGGTTCTTGGGCCTAATCCTCGTCCTCCGTTGTGTTCTGTGTTCTGTAGGTGTTCTGGAATGCTCTCTTGTGTTCGGTGGGTGTTCTGGAATGCTTGCGGTGTAATTTTTTTTACTCTCATTGTGCCATGTTGTGATAACCTCTTGCATCCCGCTGTGCACAGATCCAGCACTGGCAGGGCAATATATAGCGAGAGCGACAGCAGACAGATGGGCAAGAGTAAGACGGTGAAAAGAGAGAGCGCACAAGCGCAAACAGAGGCAGGAGAGCTGGCCGAAGCACTGTCCATGGCATCATTCATGACATCACCTGGCTGATGCTTCAGGACTGCCCACTTTAATGCTTCTTCAGCTCCCTGGAGAGGGCTTTAATGAATAGGCACTTTTCAAACTCGCGTCTAAGCGTATACACCCCGCTGAACCTTCTCCACCTCCACCTCCAGCTCGACACACACAAACACACACTAAACTTCATTCTCACCTCAGTAACCCCCCCTACAGTGAGCCAGTCTCGCACGTCCCACCAGTCTGGCACTGATCTATATATAAATAATAAATAAAAATAAACAGCTGTAATGCTTAGGTACAGCATATGGAAGCACAGAGACACAAAGGATCATATAACATGAGCCGAATGTTCCTCACTTTTTTTTTGATAAAAAAGTTTGATGTAAATTGTAAACATTGCTAAAGTTTCTAAATGTATACATCCATTTTTGGAAACTGCAAAACAGCCCACTCTGAATGAATTGTTTACATGACACCATGAAACCATTGCATTTACTCTACATATGCTACATGTATATCTGCCTATTCAGACTACAGCAGTTTAGCCCTGGAAGGAGTGTTTCAGGACTACTTTGAAAACAAGGCTCAATACAGGGCAGCCAATCACAACAGAGGTCATTTACATATTATTCTTAAAGGCAGAATAACAAAATCAGCCTCTTTAAGAGATGTGGAGAGGTTGGAAGATACTCGTGGGAAAATGAATTCTGAATTTTGTTTGGTATTTAAACTCACACAAGTATAAAAATGGACCTCAGGGAAGAAAATGAAATACTATTTATTATTATTTCAGTTTGATGAAAGGTTATATGCACAGTCTTGTGGGTAACACTTTACTGTAAGGTACTGTCCGTAAGGCTACATGACACCTACTTAAGCTTGTCATGACAACTGACATAACCCTACGTAACTGTTTATAATTGCTCATGCCAATAAGCATCTGTCATAAAGATTACTTCAGCTAACTTTGATCAAAAGTGGCAAATGTAACCTTAATAGCGAGTCACGCCTATTGTAATAAGCTTTTATAAACATTTATGTAGGGTTATGTCAGTTGTCATGACAAGCTTATGTAGGTGTCATGAAGCCTTATGAACAGTACCCTACAGTACAGTGTTGGTGTCTTGTGTATGAAAAAACATATTTTACATTTTTGCTGTAATTTCTTGGTATCAAAACAAATAACAAAAAACAAAAAAACAAACAAACCAAAAAAAACAATTTGTGATCCAGGACTTAAAACGAATGTAAATGCAATTCAGTTTGAATCAAGTCAGAATCATGTTTTTTCATCAAATCATATGACTTGATTCAATTGATGTACATCAGTACAACACCAGCAGAATTTATTACATCAGCACATATATGAAATATGTATTACTGTACATTTTGTCAGTTTACGTAACTATTGCATGTACTGTGACAGTGTATGTACTGTGTAATTATGAAATACATTTAAATAATTATGGAAATTAAATGTAAATCAAGCTCTAGATTTGTAAGGGTTTTAACCTGCTATCAAGAGTAAATGAGCTCCTCTTGGACAGAGAACGTTTCCCACTGGTCTACTTTTTGGCAGCTGGGTTGCAGTTCAATACTATAAAAGATGGGCTAAACTGCTGTCCTGTTGAAATTGCATGGAATAAGGAGAGATAAGAGCTTTGCACTTTACTGTCAGTGTCAAATACATTAATACTGAATAACACATTGTGTTTGTGTGTGTGTGTGTGTATGTGTGTGTGTGTGTGTGTGTGTGCAG